GTTTATCCAGAGAACTCACATCAACTGGTAGCTCGTACATCCCAGACGATAAATAACACCTCGTTCAATGTTAGCCACCGCTGAACCAACCAATCCAGCAACCTGGCAAGCCTGAGGTAGGATCCCAGGAGAGGACACTGACAGACAGACACCAGCTGGCAAAGGTGCAGTCAAGGGTACTGTCCATACCAAAACAGCAGGTACACATGGCAAAGGTCCACCTTTATCTAGTTCAACTCTGTGAACTATGAACTATGATCAAAAGAGTTCAAAAAAGAGTACCTTTGGGTCAAGGCAGATTAAACACATGACTTAAATAACAAGACAAACATTAAGCCAAACAAAGACAAAACACAGACTAGCTGGCATCCTGGAAAGAGGACTAAAGTCCCCACTTCGATTGAAGGCAGCTGTTTAGATAACAAAACAAACATTAAGCCAAACACAGCCAAACTGCCAATGCCTACAAAGTATTGTGGTTGGTTTAAGGGGAACCTGGCCACTTCCTCCTGTTATATCAGAAACATGACTGCAAAATGGTGGAGGTCGCCCGTAAGCAAGTTTTCAATGACTGCAGCTAAGAAAAAAGGGGTTCTTCTATTGTTAAGATGTCAAGCTTATAATAATAGAAGGACCCTCTTTGGTGCTATATAGAAGCATTTCTAAAAAGTTTCTTTATAGAACCATATACAACACAACACTTTCCATCAACCTGAAGAACCATTTCATTATAAAAATAACCATTTACGTATCTTTACTAAAGAACCATCATTTTAAGTGTGTAGGCAAAAGACGGGAATGGGCCTCAGATGCACACTTTGAATTTTTTTTCTTAAGTGACGCAACTGCCTATACTGCAAAAATGCAGATGATATATCTAATATTCCTCATTTTGAAATTGTTACATGAATATTATAAGATCAATTAATTTATTTCCATGCATTTGGTCCCTTATAGATGCTCTACAGATACTTAAATCATTAACAAACCTTCTGGTGATGTTCAGTTGATTATCAACAACATTATGGTTAGGGTTAGGATTAGGAGTGGATGTAGGTTTTGCCTTGAGGTTAAGGTTAAGGTCAGGGATAGATTTAACAAACTCCTTCACACTGAACTTGAAGTTCATTTGGATTTAATGAATATTTAGTTGAATGTTACTTATAGATTTCATCCTCTGTTTATTATCTTGATACCCTGAGTGAGTTGTCTGTGCCTGGATCTACCTGGTTGTCATCCTGTTTATCCTTATATTCTGAGACTACAGCTTTGCAGCTACTCTGGAAGAAAGGACATCCACAGCAAGGTGGCTGCCAACAAGGGCTTCCTCTTTTTTCCCTTAGTTGGTTTGGTTTATAGATCAGCCAGTGGCGGGCTCTGACCCATAGCTTGCCTTGTCAGTTAATTAAGACCTATTTATCTAAGTGAATAAATAGCTCATAGCTGTAATGTAATACAATTTTCCAGGTTTTGTTTTTTATAGGACAAATTACAACAGAAGAACTTACTTTTAGGTGGATAACGCCGGTAGCACTGCATGAGTACAACAGGATTTTGTAGTAATCCTGAGAGTTAATTAACCAAGATATTGGAAAACTATAAAGCAGGTTTTAAACTGATCTTCCCTGGTTGATAACCATACACAAAGTTGTGAAGTTAACTTTTTGTTAGATAATCCTGTACCTGCACTAGCCAAACATTTTATTCAGTGTTTTAATAAAGCTGTATTTACTTTATAAGGGTTATTTTATTTTAAAATGGGTATGTGCAGCGCCCAGACAGTCTGCAGCGGCACATAAAAAAACACAACTGGATGAGCGACAAATCCGACCGGCTCCCTCTGCATTAAAGCCAGGTTAGATCAGGAGTCACAGCACAAATGATAAGAAGAGCCATTTTGTCCTTTCAACAAAAATCAAGCCACCTTGGGAGCCACAACATTTATGTCCAGTATGTCTCAGTATGTGTTAATGTCCTAGTATAGACTAAACAATATAAACGAAAACACAGATTTACTCCACTCTGCTTTAAGCTTTAGCTACAGCCGCTTTTCTTCCATCTCCGCCAGAAAACTTTTCCTCAAAAGTTGAATAGTTCCTTGTAAAATGTCTCTCAGCGTTCCGCTGTTTTACGAGCCTGAAGTCGCTTCTCATTCTCCAGCTTCTTGCTGAACTTTCCCGTTCCACCTTAAATTCTGACAGACGCCAAATGTAATTGCGGCACCATTTAAGGTGGAACGGGAGAATTAGAAAGAGAAGTGTTTTTATGTTATCCTGTAATAAACTCTTGAAAAATAAATTATTCTAAAAATAGCCATCAACATATAAACTTACCAATCTAGTCCATGTTCCAGTGCACTTACTGGTGATGTACTTGGTGACTTTATCTTCACTTGAAAGAGTGAAGGATTTGCTAAATTGTTATTGGCTTAAACTGCAAGTGGTACCAAAGACAGAGAATCCCTCACTGACATTAATACTATGTATAGCAGTTTTTAAAATCTGGAAAATGAGAAACACTTAAGTATTCATTATGTACCTGGGTACATTTGATATTACAGCCTCAATCACAACAAGATTTTTACCACTGTATACTTTGTCTGTTTTGCTTGTACAGTTTTTTCTTGAACACAGGAATGCACTGGTCCAATTTGCAAATGCATTAATGTTTGGTGCTAGAGTCTAAGCTATGTTGTTTTACATAGCTTTGCCAAAGCTATAAAGTTGTTTGTATCCCACAACCCAGTGGGATTCTAATGTCTACATTTTAGATTGTGATTAATGAGTAGACATCTGAATACTTCTGTTTGAGGTATTTTATGGTTTTTGACACTCTAGTCTTTCCCTGCAAACACAGCTATGTTGTGACAATGTCGTGACAACCTATTGTTTTGGTGCCCACAATGTTGTCCCACCGTTGAAATGTAATTCTTGTGACAAATGTTATCTGACATTGTCAGTATGTTGTCACAACCTTCTAGAATCCTCGTAAGTTCCATTATGTTGTGCATAGAACTCCATGGAATTTTGCTAAGCTGCAAACAGGTAGTCATAACACAGTACAGCAACGTTACTGAATAATGAGGTTGTGACAATGTTGTGACCTTGTTCAAACAACCTTTTGACAATGTTGTAGCAACATTAGTAGACAACGTTGTGATGTGTGTTTTCTGGGTTCTGAAGACACTGATTTGAAAGTCAAAACAAAGACAATCAAGTTTTTATACATCTTAATGACCCTCTCCAGGCATCGATGAAACCCCTAAGAACATTTTAAAGAAAAAAATCCCCTAATGTCTTAAAAGTTGCTTAGATGTAACTCCACACATTTGCCTTCATTCAGTATGTGCAGATCTATAAATATGCAAATAGAAGTTTGCCTTCAAGGGTTTCTTCCAGAAAGTTGATTTCTCTACTTTCCATATGTACTCAAATTAGCTAACCTTATCTTGCTAACGTTGTACTAGCAACTTATGAGGACAACCTTTATCGTGTCACACCCCCAAAATCATGTTTTTTTTTGTCAGAATTATCGAAATAGCCATCATCTACTTCAGCAAGCTTGGCTGTCTGACAAACTTTCAGTTACGTTTGCCCTAACTTTCTTCATCTACATCCCGGAGTGTATAAAGTGACAGTATAAAGTGTCCTGTCAGCATTTGACATGAATCATCATGTACCTTGTAGGTCTAACATTGTCTAACATTATCTAGCACATTGTAGATCTGTTACAAGGCTGAAATCAGCTTCTTATTCACCAGCTTCTTGTTCGAATTTTACTGTAACTGCTGCACCAATGCACCAAATTAGAATAGAAACTTGAAGCCGACTTCAGCTTTGTACATTTGTTATGTACAGTCAACAGATGAAACACACAAAAAATAAACTTACCAGTTGGCTCATACTTGCTGTTTCCCCAGGGTAGAGCATCTAGTTTCAATATGAGATTAGTGGCAAACCCCATCTGTTTTTGAGTAAAATTTACAAAACAGTTCTCTGGAAAATGGCTACTGCAGACCTGAGTTTTCACTGGAAGTTTGGCTGGGACAGTCCGATTTTTCCAAATAAAACTTTTAAATTTTTTTCGTTTTTGATTTTAAGATCCTTTGGTGACATATGAATGCTCACACGTTCTCCTTCAACTCTGCATCCAAAACCAGATTCCATGTCTGCCATCGTTTAAAACAAACGTAGCTAGCTATACCTGACTCTGATACACCTTGCTCCACCTTATTATTATGCTAATGATATGGAAAGCCCCACCCCACCAGTGGACGGGATTGGTACTGAAAATGCCTGTTGCCTTTTGCATTAAGTTTCTTGATGAATTGACCAAAAGAAATGGCCCAAAATGACTTGGAAAAACGCCTGGTTCCATTGACTTACATTAAAAGTCAAGTAGTTTTTTCCTTACTCCTGTAAAGTTACCATTTTATATATACACACATACACACACACACACATATATATTAACCAACACTAAAGAACTAAGGACTCTTATTTTGTTTCTCTTTTTAAAATCATTACTCGATTGTTTTATTACCAATATGCAACTTTTATTATTATTATTTCCAATATGCAGTTTTTTCCTAGTACTCCACTGAAGCTGGCATGGCACTGGGTTAAATGCAATACAAGTATTTACATGTATATAATATATATTTTTTAGCACATTACAGCACTCTGCTGCTGCGTTGATTGGTTATCTAGATTGACGCTTGTGTTTTTAGCCCACCATTTGCAGAGCTGTTTAATATCTATATTCAAAATATTTTCATTGTCCAATGTTGGAAGTTCTTGACAGATCTCCATGTCCTCATATTAAATGCAGTTGCAAGGTGTTGTAGTCTTTCCAGTTCTTCAAACTGTGGTGCCCTCACATTCATTTGCTTTCACTGAATACATGAAATGAAAAGTCTCAAGAAGACCACTAGATGGCAATCACACTTCATGGAAGCTAAAAGGAAGACACTCGAACAGACATCTTTTCAACACTAAACCCCTATTTTTAAGTTTTATTTTTTAGACCTGTTTGTTTCTTCTATCAGATTACAACTGAGATTGACATATTAAACAGATCAGAAATCATCATGTCAAAATTGTCAATGATCAGAAGAGACATGATTATATTACATAAGACTTTTCCAGAGGCAGAAAGGAAAAGACTATGACAACTGACCTATTATGCAATTGATAATGTGAAACAACGTACATGCATTCATAATATGTGGAATGTCTAGTTTATTAGGTATATATGATAAATGTGAGTAAAGCTTAATATATATGTAACAGCATATTCCCTATATTTTATAGCCAGCTTTGTTGTTTATAGGTGTCAGTTTTTTATGTAAAGTTACTTTAAACCTTTCCTTCAGTACAGTCTCTATCTCACTGTCTGGTATGTCCCTCAAGTCCATGATGTCTGTGTCTTCTTGAGGATTAAATGTGACCTCACTGTAGGTCCAACCAATCAGAGCTCTGAAACCAGTGGATGTCTGAAGGGAACAGATGGACTTCTGGGTGAACAAAGACTCACAACTGGTCTGGAGGTACTCGATTGTGTTCAGAAAATGGTCAGCGCCACGTGGTGTTAACAAGAAGCTGTATATGGTCTTCTTCAGGCGCTTGTCAATGAGGCTACAGGTGGCGAAGGCCTCGTTCTGGATCAGTGGCTTCCTCCCAGTCTTCTCTAGGGTCCACCTATCGCCGTCATTCAGTAGACGGAACACCCCTGGGGGCTGAGGTTGGTCTTTACCTGCAATCATTTCTAACGGCTGCCAGATTTGGCACGACACCCCAAAACTCACATCAGCAATATAAGGCTTACCATCAATCTCAATCAGGTTGATGAGATGTGAATCCATAGGATTGAAGTCATTTTTTAATGTGTTGAAGACCCTGGCACCCAGCGTGGTGAATTTGTAGCCCATCTCTCTCAGCACCCAGGAGAACAGCAGGTTGTTCTCACAGCACCAACCTCCACGATGGTCGAGCACAATCTTTTTATAGATGACCTTCAGGTCCATAGTGATCCTCTCTCCACAGTGGATACTGAGGTTCTCGAAGGGAACAGTCATGACATGCAGCTTGTGTATGGTGCACAGAGTGGGCAGGTCAGCTTTGTCGTACAGACCAGTGAAGCCAATCCTTTTGAAATATTCCTTAAGATCCATTATGCTCCTGCAAGACAAAAGTATAAAGATTGAATAGCTTTCAACTGCCACGGAATCTGAGTCTGAAAAAACTTAGAAGTATGGGTGTGAAAAATATCTGGGCTACCAAACACATGGAAACAATTGTGGAAGTACGCAGACCATTCGATTGCACTTTCATTTTGAGTCCTTCCAATAAAAGTGCATGTGAAGTCTTGCCAAGTAACATGACCAGCATTTAAAACATGCTTTCAAAAAACAGGAACTGCTCCACATTTCTAACAGTTATACAACTTACTTTTGAGCGGAAGTCAGAGAGAACAGTTGTGCTTGCCAAGGCGTCTGAAGTTGGCAGAAGAAGTGAGTGCGGGGTGGAGTGACTGGCTGGATAAGAGCAGAAGTTAACCCTCAGGCCACCAGGCTGTGAGAATCTGTGATATTTTGCACCATAAATGCAACTGACTGAATGGCTGTGACTGAATAGCATTTAAAATAAAAGTGCCAAAAAGGCCTCTTTTTGAACCACTTTCTTTCCCCAAAGAAGCACTGAATGTGAGGTAGGAGCATGGATATCTTTTTAAAGTTTAAAGAACCCCCATATAATGTAACACAATGGTTTCATACCAGTTATAGGTACCTAGAACCGTACATACAAGCCAAGAACAGTTAAAGAACTTTTATTGTAGGATGGGATTGTACAGCTGACATTTTTCTTGGTAAAATTTACTTTCATACATGATTTTAATCCCACTTGTCCATGATCTGAATAAGAAATGGAACTGTCAGTATGATCAGTTGGGTTGAATTACATTAAAACATGACCAGAACATTTGTGTGTCCTTTTTCTTTAATACAGAGGAGTCTTGGACTGATCTACAGTTTTTGTGGGGGGTTTTCTTCTGGAAATGTTTGGCCCGCTTATAGCAAGCATTATCTCTATCTGGAAAACAGCCCAAGGAAACACCACTTCTAATCACGTGGCTTCCTCAGCCCTCAGTTTGCTCAGGGTGCAGAGTGCTCTTTTTGTGCTTTCATAAACAGATTCAGTTATTCACACCCACGTTTGGGATGGTTAATTTTATATAATCAACCACAGATTACTGATGTGTGCTCTAAAATTTAATTTGTAACATATTTCGATTAACATTCAAGGTCAAATAAGTGAACATTCAATTGCATAATTATTTAAAATTGTTTAGTCTACTCAAATAGATACTTTCAGGAACAATGACCTGATCATTAAACAGGCCTTAACATAAATTCTAATGGTTTGACTGGAAGAAATAGCTGCCAGTGTCTCTATTCTAATGCAGTTTTAATACTTACCATAGCCTTCAGCTATTACTATGTGGGTCATTCAACACTCAACTTCTTTGGTAAACTAGACGTAGTAAACTTGTAGTAAGATTAGATAGTAAACTCCAAACCACTTGGTGGCTGCTAATTTAGACCAATTACCTGCATGTATCATTAACTATTATCATGTAATTATCAACTACGGTTCAATTGCTTCTTTGAGTCCTGACACTTTAAATACAGGATAGCTCATTATAACAGGATTGCAACAACTGTCTGTGGTATATTTGTCTAAACTCTACTTAAAAAGGCCTAATAAAGCAATAAGCTAAGAAAAGCAGTGCGTTGCAGTTATTCATCACTCACGTCAGATCACTGGTAAGGATGTTATTAGGCACAACACGAAGCAGAGACAACATAAAATATGATAAAATACACAAATTTTCAGTTATTAGTTTAAGGTATTAAGGTATTTTTTAAAATTGAGAAGCTATTATTTTAACCAAGAAATGTAGTTACTTTAGAGTATGATCTTGTTGCCAAGCAACCATGGACCGATGAAATTTGAGAAAAACATTCAGTGGTCCATACCTGTGTAATTTGATTGAATTTGCAACTTTGTGATTAATAATAAACAGCACAAATCATCATATAGCACTGTCCAGTGCAAAAACAAATGTATAACAAATACATTATTTGCACCAATTCCAATATTCTATAGCAAACCAAATACATCAGATTTGAGTGGGTGGATTGGTGTTGCCTAGAGAGCATCAACTCGTTTGCAACATAAAAATACTGATTCAACATGCAAATGATGTTTTCATTTTTTTTTGTTAATTGAAAGTAATTTTTGTGTGGTGGGGAGGCCCTAGAACTTATTTTTTTGCACTGGGGCCCATAACACCCTAGTTACACCACTGTTGGGGAAGGTTAATTTTCATATATAGTGTAGTATATAGTGTAGTACTTATTATACAATTAGTTCCATAATAATAAACAGTGCTTTTCAGTGCATGGGTGGTGCTGTGAAGCCGGGTGTTGGAGCACCCCGCCAGAGGCCCATGCAGCCAGGAGGGCAAAGACCAGGCCTCAGGTCACAAATGTTTTGGTTGGCCCCTATCAGGAACATTTTCTTGATGTTTTTAATCACATCACAGCAGGTTATGTGAAATCTCTGCAGCACCACAAAGCCATCATGTTAACTGCGACGTAAAGCAAGATCTTTTTTTTTTATTAAATATTAAAAAAATTCATATTCAAAGTTCATTATTTAAACCAAGATGTAAATTAGGTTATCTAAATGTACAGTCCCCATGCTTCCCACACAAAACCTGAAGCCTGTGTATGTCTACAATTCATTATGGATCAAAAAAATAATCAAAAAATGTTTAACATTCAAAGTTTAATATTCAAACCAAGTTGTAAATCAGGTTATCTAAAATGTGCAATTCCCATGCTTTCCACACAACAGTAGACTAGAAAGAGTGCTACACCGTGAGATACTGGCACTGTTGCAGTATATCAAGGTAGAGCACGCCCTTGAGTGTATTATTGCCATTATGCCACTGATTATATCAATTACTGATTTATTTGATTTTTTTTTTCCATGTGCACTAAAAGCATTCAAACAGCAAAATATCAAAAAACAGGTGCACATTTTGGACGTTTACACAGCTTGAGCAAAAGAAAGACAAATGGTTATGCTAACTAAGGCACCTCAAGTCAGAAGAAGGAACGTGAGCAGAGAGGAGTAACAGTTAGGTAAAAGCATTCTGGCAGGGATGCATATCCCTGAGAAGCTGGAGTGAGCCTTGCTTGTGAACATCCCAGTTGCAGTGTATGTTACACTATATTGCCAAAAGTATTCCCAGTCTCAATCCATAGGGTTTAATCTGATGTCGGCCCACCCTCTGCATCTATAACAGCTTCAACTCATCTGGGAAGGCTTTCCACAAGGTTTAGGAGTGTGTTTATGGGAATTTCTGAGAAATTTGTGAGGTCAGACACTGATGTTGGATGAGAAGGCCTGGCTCACAGTCTCTGCTCTAATGCATCCCAAAGGTGTTCTACTGGGTTAAGGTCAGGACTCTGTGCAGGCCAGTCAAGTTCTTCCACACCAAACTCGCTCATCCATGTTTTTATTTACCTTGCTTTGTGCACTGGTGCGCAGGCATGTTGGAACAGGAAGGGGCCATCCCCAAACTGTTCCCACAAAGTTGGGAGCATGAAATTGTCCAAAATCTCTTGGTCTGCTGAAGCATTAAGAGTTCCTTTCACTGGAACTAAGGGGCCGAGCCCAACTCCTGAAAAACAACCCCACACCATAATCCCCCCTCCACCAAACTTTACACTTGGCACAATGCAGTCAGACAAGTACCATTCTCCTGGCAACCGCGAAACCCAAACTTGTCCATCAGATTGCCAGACGGAGAAACGTGATTTGTCACTCCAGAGAAAACGTCTCCACTGCTCTAGAGTCCAGTGGCCGCGTGCTTAACACCACTGCATTCAACGCTTTGCATTGTGCTTGGTGATGTAAGGCTTGGATGCAGCTGCTCGGCCATGGAAACCCATTCTATGAAGCTCTCTATGCTGTTCTTGAGCTAATCTGAAGGCCACATGAAGTTTGGAGGTCTGTAGTGATTGACTGCAGAAAGTTGGCGACCTCTGCGCACTATGTGCCTCAGCATCTGCTGACCCCGGTGTCATTTTTTACGTGGCCTACCACTTCATGGCTGAGTTGCTGTCATTCCCAATTGCTTCCACTTTGTTATAATACCACTGACAGTTGACTGTGGAATATTTAGTAGCGAGGAAATTTCACGACTGGACTTGTTGCACAGGTGGCATCCTATCACGGTACCACGCTGGAATTCACTGAGCTCCTGAGAGTGACCCATTCTTTCACAAATGTTTGTAGAAGCAGTCTGCATGCCTAGGTGCTTAGTTTTATACACCTGTGGCCATGGAAATAATTGGAATACCTGAATTCAATGATTTGGATGAATGAATGAATTAATAAATAGTGAATAGTGAGTGAATACTTTTGGCAACAGTGTATGTGGAATTTATGGTAAATGCCTACGTGTCATTCAGTACACACTGTGGCCCACATTTATCAAGCGCCTCAGAGTAAGAGCACTGATCTAGGATCAGGTCTCATCAGGTCATGGAAGTTCCTTCAGTAATAGATAAAAAGCATAAACTGTTCCTAGATCAGTATTATTACTCCAAGAAGTTTAATAAATGTGGACCAATGTCCTGTATTTCAGCGTCAAAAATCTGGTCACCTTACGTCAATATTAAAACACAAAAACAGACAATACTATTAACAGGAATAACAATGTCACATACCTTGTAATTCATATTCAGTATATACATTTTTATTGCCTGTTAAACTTAGCATTTCTTTCCAATGTCTGTCACTGAAATTCTTAATTCAATAATTGTTTATTCATAACCAGGTTAGAGAGGTTTACTTTTCATATACATTCCACCACAGATCACTGAATACTTGCTTTAAAAGTAGCTTTTAAAGTAGTACTTATTTTACAATTAATACCGTAATGATAAACAGTGGTCTTCAGTGCACGGGTGGCGCTTTGAAGAGCACTGAGCGGTGATGTGAAGCCAAGATCAAAAAATTATAGTCCCCTGGTAACAAATGTTTTGGTTGGCTCCTATCTGAAACCTTTTCTTGGTGTTTTTTTTTTAACACATCACAGCAGGTCATGTAAAATCTGTGCAGCACCATGATGCCATCATGTTAACTGTGATGTAAAGCAGGATCCTTTTTTTGGAAATATTAAAAAAAAAATGTTCAATATTCAAACCAAGCTGTAAATCAGGTTATCTAAATGTACAGTTCTTATGCCTTCCACACAACGCTTGAAGCCATACAATTCATTATGGATTTAAAATATATGATCTAACCTAATTATTATATAACCTACTTATCTAAACAGTTCTAGAAACAAGCCTCTTAAAAGGAATATTTCTAATACAGCTTAATGTGAAGTTAAATTGTTCAAAACATACTTGTCCATTTACAATAACATTTAAACTGCATTATACTGAACTAGTCA